CTACACTGCTCCCCGGGCGCTGTACATAATGGCAGCCCACTGTTCCTAACACTAGGATGGGTCAAATGCAGAGAAACCATTTTGTTACATAGTACCTACTGTATACTACGTAATGACAAAAAGTTGAATCTTCAATCTTCAATAAACACATTTAATACACAATAGCATTGTGAGGCTGAACAAAAGGACCTTTTGACTATGTAAATGTAGTCTTTTAAAAAAGCTAAACATTTACTGACTTTTTTAGGATAGCTTAAAGTGATGTTGGAAAATTACAACCGTGGGCCTTACAGGGTTAAAAGGCAATATGTAAGATATGGCCAGAATTAAAGTTTAAATATTCACAAAATAAATTAACATTATCAACATGTGAAGAGGTTACAGTTTTACGAAATAGACGTCTATGTATTGTGGTTGAGAGGAGTCTACTGGATTTAACATGCTAGCCCGTCCTGTGTGTAACACCCCATGTCCTCTAGAGGCGACAGCGAGTCTCTGTAGAGCCAGTCTGCCCTCAGTCCAGAGGGAGAAGAAGAACAGCTTGTCAGTAACCAATTTTTTTTTATTGAATCAAAATTGGCAGACACGAGTAAACAACGAGAAGAGGGTTAGGGTTAGATAATCTGGGAGAAGACAAAGCGTCAACCTAAAGGAATGAATCGAGCTGCACCTACGTTGGCCAGCCCTCCCCAGTGGAGACAGTGAAGAGGGTCAGGAAGGCCCACAGCACATTGTCATAATGGAACTCGTACTTCCTCCACTCCCTGGGCATCGCCGCCACCTCCTCTGTGTCATAGTCCAGGAACTGTCCTCTGGAAGACATAAAGTCATAAATAACACTGAGTGGGGTTAGTAAGGAACAGGGTCAGCACAAATGCTACAATGTTGACAATTTCAATGTTTCTGAGATAAGGAATGAGGAGGAGGGGATTGTAGACCGACTTGCAGTCTTTCTCCAGGCCCTTGGACTCGTCTGTGCAGAAGAAGAATTTCCCTTTGAACAGTTGAACTGCGATGACGGCAAAGATGAACATGAAGAGGATGTAAACAATGAGGATGTTCAGCACGTTCTTCAAAGAATTGACTACACAGTCGAACACCGCCTGAGGACACATAGAAGCAAACACACTATTTGATTAGGAGATAAGGTAGAACATCATTTCTGAATATACAGGACTTTCTCATTATTATTACATATACATCCAGTATTGTGCAGGCACTGCTACTCTGTTGTTTGCCTTTCACACAATTTCCTCCTCTTTGCTAAAAACAGCAGCAGCCTGCTGTAGACAAAATTAGACCCTCCAGAAAAACGCGGTCAAAAATCCTTGATTATGCTGGCTAAATTCCTTGATTATGCGGGCTAAAATCCTTGATTATGCGATTAAACATACAGGGTTTTTATGTGATTTTATGCGGTGAAATTGCGGGAAGTTGCAAAATATGCGGAAAGTTTCGAAAAATAATAGATTTCTTTTTTTAAATATTGGGCTGTCTTATTTA